TTAAATATATTTAACACCATTATAAATGCTGGAAGCAAATCGGGGTTTGGGGTGGAGACTGACAGCTCATAACCCCCCACATAATAACCTCACGACCCCCTGAAGGGTCCTGACCCCCAGTTTGAGAACCCCTGCTTTAAGGTCTCCTGTAGTTCTTTGCAGCATATGGTATTAAAACACTGTGTGATTTAATTATTAGCCACTCAGGATGTTTTATTATGTTACTAACCAACTGTAGTTGATACAGTTGACTGGCCAAATATTATTGTAAGACTAATATACATGTATATAAAAACTCAATCGTTCCCCTGGCATGGTGTTTGAAGCGGAATATATAGTCCTAGTGTTTCATTTAGTATCAAGTCCAGGACTGTGCCTCTTTTGGGTACTGTTGAGTCTTAAGTTGGTTCCCGAGGTCTGAGGCTCCCTGAGCTAGGAGAGGTGTCGGTATGTGGAGGCGGGTGCTGCGGGGAGCGGCAGGGGGCACAGCTTGCCCTGGAGGAAGCGGGGAGAGGGGCACTCCTCGCGGGGAGAGGGAAGCGGTTGGGGGCGCTGCTGCCCCCACCTGAACCCGGCTCTCGCCCCGTGCGCGGGAGGGGAGCCGAGGGCGGCCCCTACGGCCACATCCGGCGGGCCCAGCCTGAGCGCTGGTCTCGCTCCCCTCAGGGCGGCCGCCCCCCTCCAGCCAGGCAAGATGGCGGCGGCAGGAGGCGGTGCTGAGGGGAGGGGGGATCCCGCCTGAGACACCCACGCGGGCGGGCGGGGGAGGAGGCAGCGGCGGCGGCTCGGGCTCCCGTTAGGATGAGATAAGGGCGCCGGGGCCGGCTCGCGACGCGCTCGCTTTCTCCATCGCGCAGGGCGGGCGGAGGAGGACCCAGCAGCCGCCCCCATGGGGAGCGCAGCCCCGGCCTGAGGTGAGCAGCGCCGGCCGGGGTGCGGAGCTGTCACCGCCGGAGGGGAGGGGTGTCTCCGCCGCCGTGGGGCGCTAGCCCAGGGCCGGGGCAGCGGGGGCCGTGTCGGTGAGGCGGGCAGGAACCCCTGAGGGAGCCGGCCTGGCGATGACGACCGGGGGGGGAGGGCGACATGACTCGGCTGCAGCCCTCGAGCAGGCGGCGATACGCGAATATATCCTGCCCCCTGCCTGTCGTTGGGGCTAGCGACTGGGGGGGGGGCGATCCGGGGGTTCCCGAGCGTGCATGGGGCGGGGGCGGCTTGGAAGCGTGTGTGTGTATCCCGCGCCCGACGGAAGGGAAGCGGTGCCCGCCCGTTAGCTGCCGGGGATTTGGTGCACCCAGCGAGGCGTTCCTTCGCCAGTCCTGTCCCCTGGGCCGTTCCCGGCAAGATCGTGCCAACGTGGGGTGGGCGCTCCGGCGAGCGGGGGTCTGGCTGCACGGCAGCAGCCGCAGCGCTGTCTGATGCGGACAGACGTGTGACTTCCCCAAAGGGGCGTTAAAATGGCCCTGGTGTAACGCCGCTGTGTAGACGTGAGGGCCTCGCAGCGTGCAGGGGCAGCGATCCCCTGCTGCGAGAGATCGCGTGTGCACGGTGAGTTGGAGCGCCTGCTGCCCTGCCATGTTCCACACGCAGGGCAGGACCGGGGGAGCTGGCTTGGGCAGCTGCAGGGGAAGAAACGGGTTGAGATTTCTGTTCACACGGAATCTGTAAATTCCCATTCACTTTACTAGCTAGCTAATGGGGATTACAAGCACAGATCTATGCTATCCCCTCCTCCCCCATGATTTTCCCTTGGCTCCATACAGGTTACTGCAATTTTGTTGGATTAGTGTAACATCGAGCATCATGGTAAAAAAAAGTAGTTTCTAGAGCCCTGAGATTTTTGTGCTGTCTTAATGTCAGAATTTACTACAGACTCAGTGGGCCACATGCTAATAATGTTTAATGGATTGTTATTTATTTTGATGGCTTTGAGCCACTGCTAATCGCAAATTCTATTTAAAGAATGAATTGGGTCCCAGCACCCCAATACGGGTCTGTTTACAATGGAAATTAGGAGATGTAGACTTGGCAGTTAGATCTGATGTTTAATGTTTGAATTAAACTGATCAGAAGAGTAATGTTTTGGACAGCTTTTTACTTCATTTCACAATTTCTTCTTGAACTGTTGCTCAGCCAGTGTTTTCTGTCAAACAATAAAATGTACTATACATAATCTTTCACTTTCAGAAAGATTAAATATTTCTGTGTTTAATCATGTTATTAGGTACTCTGGTTTAGGGAAACTATTTGAATCAGTCTAGCCAAGAAAGGGGTCGAGGCGTACATAGGTGAACTTTGGTTTGTGCTGGATGTGCAAGCCCAGCTTTGCAACAATCTTTTAACCGATAGGTGTTCAGAATCATGCTGCTGAAAATGAATCAACTAGTAGGGATCTTGAGTATAGTTTTATTGTAAAATGAATGTGAAAACCAAACTGTTTCCTTGACAGCTTAATCCCTCTAAACACATTCAGGTTTCATTGGGCTGTTCATGATTCCTGGCATTGACTTCCTATTTATTTATAGGAAATAGAGCCTTAAAGCTTTTGTGGTCAGTTCTTGCAAAGACTCACATAGTCTGCAAAGAGATACAAAGGACAAAAAAGGATAATGACCTACAGCCTTTGCATGGTTTCTGATTATTAGATTTTTATTATGCACATCTTTTAATCAGAATTGATTTTTAAATAATGTAGTCTGAAATTTAAGGGCCCACTGATGTGAGGAGTCTCCTGCAAAGGTGCTGAGGAGCTTCCATCCCTTTGAAGCAAGTTTTATCTAAGAGTCTAATCAGGTCAGGAGAGTGTCCACTTACTGGAAACTAGTGTGGACAAGGTTTTCCGGCTTATTGTAGGACCAGAACTCTTTGTGGTTTTCTTGTTCAGTATTCATTCAAAAGTAACAATTATCTATTGATAAATACTTCTATATTAAGAAGATTCATATACTGGAGTTCTTGGATTATTTTTGTATCAGTATCAGCCACACTTTAACATTCTTGCAGACTACTTGCTTTTCATTTGTGATTATAAAACATCTCTGGGGCAATTTCTGTCTGTGTGGAGGTAATAGATATAAATTCTATATGTGAGCACACTTAGCTTTTGACACTTTTATCCTTGTCACAGTTGACAGAGCCTTGTCTCCACTAGGGCTCCCACTGGTGTAGCTGATCTAGTGATAGCATTGGGGGACAATTTTTCTGTTCTAAAATAATTGCTAGGCAGCAAACACACAAGTCTGGCCAACCATTCTTTCTTTTGTTTTTGGAGAGGATGGGGCCCCAGTTCATTCTTGTTACTGTGGTGGATATATTAAAGGTACATCAGGGAAAGTTCTACATGCTGCCACCCCACATCACTTTTCCACTGGGAACTGTGGCCACCACCATTTTGACACGAGCTGCCACAATTAAATACATTAAACAATTTATTTACCATAGCATGAATTTGTGCTACAGGGTCAGATGAATAGTTTATCACTGAATCATCTATATGCACATTTTCTAGTCTGAATGTTGTCATCTGGTTAATTTGAATAATTGTAATTGGATTAATAGGTTTCTAAAGTTGAAATCTGAAGTTATGACAAATATTATACTTAAAATGTAGAAAATCTCTCCTCTTCCATTCCCTTTACATATATTTGTTGAGAATTGGAACTTCTTTTGCAAGTCAGGACAGGTTGTAGTACTTCATAAAACCAATAGCTACAGAAGCCAGTGTAATCATGGAGAAAGTTAAATTGGTATGTTTCAGAAAGTAGAACGATTCTGAAAGGACTTCTGCTAACTAGTGAAACTAATACTTACAGAAAACCTTCTGCTTTGTTAGATTACCATTTATTCACTCTGCTGTGAACATATTGTATAAGCACAGTGGCAGCATGCTTTTGAAAAGTTGGAGGTTAAAGCAAGTTGCACAACTTAAGTCAGGTCTAATAAAAAAGAAAAATATGATGTAATATGTGTTCAGAAACAATGGCTTAGCTCCCAGTAGCAAAATAGCAGTTTCCTAATATCTTCCTGTTTGACATAGGAGGGAATTTAAGTAGAATAAATTCTACTGCCTTGTGAACAAAGCCTTAGAGGGGAAGCATGCCATTGCTCATACAGATCTAATAAACATGCTCTTCTGGTCAAGTCTACACTTCCACTTTCAGCACTAAAACTTTAGTCATTCAGGGGTGTGAAACTCCCACCCCCCCAAAAAAGTGCCAGTTTAAACAGCGGGTGGTTTGGTTGGTTTTTTTTATTGCCAGAGAGAGCTCTCCCCCAGTGATAAAGCGTGTCTACACTGCCCACTTCACAGTGCTGCTAAAAATAACCCAGCAGTAAGTGTAAGGCATGAAATTGATTAATTTGTAGGCAAATAAAAAAAAAGTCCGAGGGAAACCCCCTTTTGCTGAAGCAAGCTTATACAAGTAAGCAGAAAATGACTGTTGGGTCAGATTCTGATCTTGGTCACGCTTCTGTAACTTCAGAATGAGCTCATTACCTTCAGTGGAATTATTGTGAAAATACAATTGTGTGACTGGGCCAGATTCTGAGCTGTCCGGTTACAAAAGTAGGTAGCTTTGGCTGTATAATTGCATAAACTTAGTGAAAAAAACCCAACTCCTTTCAAATGCTGCAAGTGCAAAAGTAATTAGATCCCTACTACAGTCATGCTAACCGAACCTATATGTAGAAACAAAGTGTGCACTCCTGTAGTCAGACTGCATGCTTGAGCTCTTACTCAGGCAGGGAAGGAAACCTCTACAGAAAGACTATTTCCTTGTGATTTTTCCACCAATTTCCTACCATTGGATCACTTTTAAAGAACGCACTCAGAAGATCACTATTCTTGGCCAAAGATGGAGAATGGTGAAAGGATACTTAGTTAAATTTTAGGCAGTGTGTTCACATTCATTAGGTGTTTGGAGGGTGAGTTTCTCACTACAGCTTTGGCCCTGGACATTGCGTATTTTTTCCTTGCTGTACATGTTTACTTCTGCTTCTGGCTAGAAGGTGTTGAGTGAATTTAAGTTCTGGGCAGTGTTGAGTGAATTTAAGTTCTGGGCAGTGCACATGTTTTTTATCTTCTGTATTTTTAAACGTACAACTTTTTTTACATAACTGAGCTACTAAACTGAAAATAAGAGATGGGTCAAAACAGACTTTGTATTTTAAGCCTCACATGCACTTCCTGATAGAGCTGGGTGGAAAATGGTAGATGTTTTCAAGTCTTTTTGGCCCCCCCCCCCAAAAAAAGGGTGTTCTACAGGATTAGAACATTGAAAACATTGAGAGCTCTTAGTTCTGAAAACTTGGAGTATGGGGGATTTCATCCTCTTCCTTGCTCGCATCTTCTTTTTCTCTGTTATCCATTTTGCCCCCAAAAAAGGGACTAAAAGGAAAACCAAAAAATACAAAGCTTTTCTTCCCTTCTTTAATTTTTTTTAACAAATTTTCATTTGAAAAATGTTAACCAGCTTTATCTTTGAACTTTGGTTTGGATTAAGTCGCACTTGGATCTGAACTCACCTTATGTGACATTCAAGCATGCAGGCCACCTTTCACACATTCCCACAGCCTGGACTCTTATGTACTCTGCTGGGGTGCAGAAATGTCCTACAGAGCTGCACAAAACTTGACATGTAGGCTTGCCAATCTACTCACTGGCTCTTTGTATACTAATGTGTTTCTTAAAACTTCCCGCAGTTGTTCCACCTCCAGTTCAGCATTGGGGAAGAGGGAGCTTAGTCTAGGCTGGCCCCCTGCTCAGAGGAGACCTATACAGTGTAGTGGTTTAAAATCAAACAGTGACCATCTGAGCTCTCTCTGTGTTGGTACTTCTCCCTATTGCTACCATTTGTGGAGCTGCAGCAGTGTCGTCCAACTGTAGGAAATTTTAAGAAAAAAAGCAAATGTAGACAGTGCATAGTGAAAGGGTGTTGGGTACATAAGGAATTCAGGGACAAGCTATCTGGAGCATAGGGGTGAAAATAAGGCATTGGGGTGGAGAAGGATGGCAATCCGAATTCGTTGTTAGCCTACCTGATAAGGTGAAAGCCACCTACTCAAGATAGTTAAGTCCAAAGCAGACTGCGAAGAGCTGTATGTATAACTTCCTCAGAGTTGGGCTTCAGCAGGCATATTTTGCTGTTTGCAACTAGCTGTCATGGGATAAGAGGGAAGGTCCTCTCATGGATCAGTAACTGGTTAAAAGATAGGAAACAAAGGGTAAGAATCAATTATCTGTTCTCAGAATGGAGAAAGGTAAATAATGGTGTCCCCCAGGGGTCTGTACTAGGACCAGTACTATTCAACATATTCATAAATGATCTGGAAAAAGGGTAAACAGTGAGGTGGCAAAATTTGTAGATGATACAAAACTACTCAAGATAGTTTAAGTCCAAAGCAGATTGCGAAGAGTTACAAAGGGATCTCGCAAAACTGGGTGACTGGGCAACAAAATGGCAGATGAAATTCAGTGTTGATAAATGCAAAATAATGCACATTGGAAAACATAATCCCAACTATACATATAAAATGATGGGGTCTAAATT